GCCCGAGCTGGGGGCGCCGGGCGAACGTGGGGGAGGGCGGCCGGGCTCGAGACGGCCTCCCGGGGTCCCGCTCGGCTCGGAGCGCAGCGAAGGCCGGGGAAGGGGCGGCGAGGCGAAGCTCGCACTCACCTCGGGGTGGAAAGCGGCGGCGCAGGAGTCGGAGTCCATGTTCCGGGTGGGGGGCGGCGGCGGTGGGAGTGCCGAGGCCGGAGTGCGAGAGCGGGCCCGCGGGGCGCTCAGGGCCAGGGGGCTCCGGCACCGCGGAGGGCGAGGGCGGACCCGTCCGGGGAGGGGTCGCCCGGGCTGGAGGTGATGGGGGTGTCGGGGTGTCGCGTCGCAGGCTCGCTGACCCCGGGCCGGAGTCTCCAAGGCGAACTGAGTGGAGGATGCAGCTCCCACGACCGATGCTGTGGAGAGGCGGGAGAGACACTGAGGGGGGCGGCGGCGGCGACAGCGAGCGGGAACCCGACCGGCTCCCCGACCTGACGCCCAGTTCGGCTCGTGTCTCGGGAGGGAGGGCGGGAGCGCTGCGAGGGTCGTCGGGAACTGTAGTCCGGGGAGGCTGGACTTCGTCAATGTGGGGGTGTGGCGCGCGCGGCGCGCGGCATTGTGGGAATCGTAGTCCCTAGAGCGGCGCTACGGTGCGTAGAGGCTGTCTCAGAACTCCAACTCCCAAGAGGCCCTGCGGCAGCGGCCGAGTGCGGGGCGGCGCTGACAGGACTCCCGAGGCCTCCGGAGCGGGGGAGGTGCGGGGGCTCCCACCTCCCGGCTGGTGGGGGAGGGGCGGCAGGCCGCGGGCTGCGCGGGGGCGGGGTCGAGCGGCGGCCTGGGTCTCGGAGGGCGGTGGCCCGAGCTCCGCTTTCTCCCGTGGGGCCTGGGCTTGGGCCTTTGTGGGGCGGGGGTGTCCCGGCGGCTCAGGCGGGATGGGGGCGGGCCGCTGACGTCTGCGGGGGCGGAGCGCACTTGTTTTCGTGGCCGCGGGCGTTCAGCTGGAGGTTCCGGGCGACCGCGGCGTCAGGCCTGGAGGGGTCACTTGTGGGCACCCGGTGCGAGCCGCCTAAGATGGACCCGGACTCCGGGCCAGCGCCGCGCCGCGCCGCCACGCGCGCGCCGGGTTTTTGTTTTCCTCCTCGCTGTCCTCAGGGCTGCGGCGACGGGAAAGGCTTCGCCGCCGGAGTTAAACGCTTTTCCTGGGATCCGAGAGGCGGCGGGCGCGGTGTAAACGCGTGAGTGCGTGGTGCCCACGGGGACTCCGGGGGCCGTGCTGCTGGGTGAGTGGGCAGGGTCTCCCGTGGGGTGGAAGATGGCCCCGGAACGCTGAGTGGAGTGCCTGGGCGACATTGCCGTACGGCTGTTCCTGTCAGTTTAACGTTAGTGGTCACTCAGAAGGGAACACGTACACATGCAAAATACACATTGTCAAGTACTTGGTAGCTTTAGAAGCTGTCAAAAGAGCGACGTAAAATTTTAAATTCGAATGAGAAAGACGGGGTTGAGAGCCTGTGAACAGCTCTATCCGCGATGATTGCTGCTTCCGAGGTTAAGCCAATTTTTATGTCAACAGTGATTAAGAGAATAGGTTGAGCCAGGTGTGGTAACCCATTATCCCCAGCAGGCAGGAGCCCGCGGGACCTGAGGCCAGCCTGGTCTACACAGTGAATTGCTGGCCAGTCAGGGCTGCGTCCTGAGACTTCGTGAGGAAGGGAGGGAGGAGGGGGAAGGGAGGAAGGAGAGGAGTTAGTACATAACTCAGGGAGGCCACCCTGAGCAGCATGAGACCCTAACAAAAACGGAGTTCATCTCAGAAACCAGCCTCATTCTCTAAACCTAAATAAACTACCACAGTGACTCACTCAATAAAGGTAGTTTCCTGTTGTTGTTTGGTGATTTCTGCGATATTGAAGCCCTCTTGAGGGCTCCCCAGGAGTGATACATTGAAGTAACGCACAGAAGAAATGACTACAGTGAAAATGTGGCCTTAGCCCTTAGGACCTCAATAATAACTTCCTTCAGAGTGGTCAAAAGCAAGTAGATAAAGAATTAGGATGTTACATAATCTGTGTCCAGAGAAATGTCTGGAGATTGACTAGTTTTGTCCATGGTCAGACTCACCTGATGTGACTTAGTTTTTCCTGTACAGTGTCTGCAGTTCCACACTCAGGAGGCTGAGGCAGGATTGCTTAAAGTTCCAACCCCTCGTAGGTTACAGAGAGATCCTAACGTTGACCTGAACAGTTTAGGGAAACCCTGTCTCGAGATTGGGGGTGGAGCACCTAGGATTGTGGCTAGAAATTCTGCACTTGCCTAGCTATAATGTGCAAGGCTCTAGGTTAGGATGTGGTTATCTCTGGTAGTTCAAAGGTACACCAACAGCAGTTAAGAGCATTTCTTGTTCTTGCAGAAGACTGTGTTCAATTCCCACCACCCACAGGGGCTCTCACAACCCTCCGTAGCTCCCGTTCCTGGGAACCTAACACCCCTTCTTACCTCAGAGTTCACCAGGTACACACATAGTGCACAGACATGCATGCTAGCAAAACACTCCTACACATAAGTCTAAAAAAGAGCACTACTAGCATAATGCACACCTGTAATCCCAGAGTTGGGAAGATAGATGATAGAATTGGGAGCTCAACAGTGTCAGTCTTGGTTATGTAATGTCTGTGGTAACTATTTCACATCAAGTCATTCTCATATCAAGAAACTGGCTCAAGAGCTGCAGAGACGGCTCAGGGGTTAAGAGCAAGCACTGTTCTAGAGGACTCGATCTCTGTCCCCAGCACCCACGTCAGACACCCCACAGCTGAGTGTAACTCTAGCTCTAGGGGATCCAACACCCTCCTCTGGCCTCCATGGGTAATACTTTCAATATGCACAAACCCACACTCAGAAACACACATATGCGCATATTTTAAAGTAGAAGTAAGTAGTGGAGCTTAGTGCTGCATGCCTTTAATCCTAGCAGTTGGGAGGGAGAGGCAGGTACTGTCTTGAAAAGAACATACATAATAAATAAAATAATAGTAAAGTAAACCTAAATGGCAAACATCTTTAATCTCGCACTCATTAGCAAAGGCAGGTGGATCTCTGTGAATGTGAGACCAACTAGAGCTATGTTGTCTCTAATAGTAATAAAATCTGAGCTGGGCAATGGCGCACGCCTCCAGGCCCAGCACTCGGGAGGCAGAGGCAGATGGACCTCTGATTTCGAGGTCAGCCTGGTGTACAGAGTGAGTTAAAGACAGCAGGGTTACACAGAGGAACCTTGTCTCAAAAAACCTAGAAAAAAATAATAAAATCTTAAAAATCGAAACTGGGGGCAGGAGACATGGCTCAGTGGTTAAGAGCACTTGTTGCTTTTACAGAGAACCTGGGTTCAGTTCATGGCACTCACAGGGTGGCAGACAACCACCTGTAACTCCAATTCCAATAGGTCCTGTGTACTCTTTTGACCTCTCTGGACACCAGACATGAACATGATGCACAAGTAGACATGCAAGCAAAATACTCCTATACATACAATAACATAAAAGTTAAGAAAAAAATTAGTGAAGGCCAGTCGTGGTTGCTCATGGCTATAATCCCAGCATTAGGGAAGCTGAGCCGGGAGAATGGAGACAAGTCAGGAGTTCTGAGACAGCTTGGACTACATACATACTGAGGCTGTCTTAATACCCTCCCTCAAGGAAAACAAACAGGAAGTTGTCTATTCCATGGCAGTCTAGCATGCAGAAAGCCCTGGATTATTCTCTAACATTGCTTAAAAATAAGTGGATAAATGATTCTCAGCCTGTCATAGTGGCTCACCCAAGTACTAGCACTGAGAAGTCTGAGGCAGGAGAATTTCCCTAGTTCCAGGTCAACCTGAATTACAAAGCAAAATGCTATCTCAAAATCCTGGTCTCTAGCTCGGGATATAGGTCCTTGGTACTTTCCCAATATGCATGAAATAAAATCCTATGTTCATGCCTAAAAACTGCTTAAATTTTTTCAAAGCCATACATACATCCTAGGGGCTGGAAGAAGGGCTGAGTGGTCAAGAGTGAGGACCTGAGGCAGGAAGCTTACAACTCTGACGTCCACAACCATGAATATCTACATACATGTGTATACACACACACACACACACACACACACACACACACACACACAAGACTAAACTCTTTGGGAGGCTGAAGAGATGGCTCCGTGGTTAGGTGGGCATACTGTTCTTGTAGAGGGCTTCATGCTGTCCCCAGCACCCCATCAAGTGGCTCACAATTGTGCCTCCCCCTCTGGAGAAGTCCAGAGCCTCTGGCCTTCCCTGGCATTCGCATTCAATGTACTTAGCCACACACAGGTACGTACATGTAACTGAAGATATTTTAAACCTTTTAAAATTACTTTTATAGGTGTTTCCTGCTTACATGGACATCTGCACCATATGCGTGCAGTGCCTTTGGAGGTCAGGAGAGGGTGCGGTTGCTGGGAACCTAACCCTGGTCCTCTGTCTGCCAAGCAAGGGCTCTCAGCCACTGAGCTGCATCTCGGTTCCCTAAGTTTGTTTTAGGTGTTCTGACCCAAACTGCCCCTGTGGTAGAGGCTCGTTCTCTCTGGAAACAGTCTGCTTTCTGCCATGCCTGCCTGTTTTCAGGTAAACTACTATCACTCATGGCTCCCATGGGCGAGAGGACCTAGAGCTCCTTGAGTAGCAGTGTTAGTCATGTATCCAGACCCATGAGTCACCGTTCTTGTTTTCCACTGTGGGGCGCGTGTCTGCTTGCTGAATGCTAATTCTCAGACAATTGTAAGTGCTCAGGAAAGGGGGGAAGAGACCCAACACTAGCCCAGGCTGTGACAAGTTCACATACTAGGAATACCCGGGTTTCCCAGTCATTTGAGGATGTGGTTATTTTAATTTCGTTTCCAAGTATAGCCTCACCTACCTAGATCTCACTGCTCCAATACCTTCGCTTGGGGGAACACTCTCTGCTCCGTTTTACTGTGCGATTGGAGTGTGGGTGTAAATTTTACCCGAGGCTTGTTCTGCCCGTAGTGGTTCTCTGATGGCACTGCACTTGCTCCAGCTAAAGTATATTTTTAGGAATCCTCCTGCCCATCCTGCTCAGGAGAGAGAGAGAGAGAGAGTGTAGATGTAGGTGTAGACTCATCAGATCACACTTTCTTTAGCTTGTAGTACCTGGGTTATAGGAGGAGAATGTCTGAATAATTTACAGTCAGTACTTTGCACACGGCCTCATCAGCTGGTGCACAGGCATAGAGAAATCAAGTCAGTTCCTTACGTTAGGTTGGTACTGGCAGACTACAGAGATAAGAAAAGTCGGAGAGGTGACCGGCACCTGTAATTCCAGCTCCGGGGACTCTGCCATTCTCTTCTGGCCTCCTCGAACCCACACCAATATGCACATGCAGGGAAACAAACTTAGCTTGATTGTATGTGTATTCACAAGAATTGTGTCTGTGCTTCTGTGCGCCACGTGGGCTTGGTGCTCCTGGAGGCCAGAAGAGGGTACAGATCCCCAGAAACTGT